GATACCCAATGTCCGTTGGTCGGATATGATCAACAACAGACTACTGTGGAAGAGAACAAACCGGTTTTCATATGAGGAGGAAATTAGAAAAAAAAAATGTTATAGGTGGATAGGACATCCATTGTAGAAACTATGAAACTACATCATCAGACAGGCGACAACTTGGAATCATGAAGGGAACAAGAAAAATGGTAGACCAAAGAACATATGCTGTCGCAAAAAGAGTTGGTAGAAATCAAAAGAAAGCATAGCAACTAGACTTAATTGAAAAGGAGAGAGGGAGGACAGAGTTCTTTAGAATATACTGTTAGGTGGTCTATGCTTCTCCACGAGGGGTAACATGCATAAGTAATTAATTACATACGACGACATTTAGAACATGAAATAAACTCAGCTATGTATTATTTAAGCGATATAGTGAAGTAAGTAATTTCCTTATGTTTAAATAATACAAATATATTTAAATCAATTATACTTACAAATGTTTAGCAAAAATATAGATTAATTTAATAGTTGAATTAATGAGTGAATTAAAGCAAGACCACCGTGGAGAAACTACAAGCATTAGACGGCCGTTTCGTTCTATTGTGGGACTCCTCAGCAGTGTGCATCCACGATCCTGCCTTTCGCGAGATTCAAACACAAGATCTATCAGTTTCGCAAGCGAACTTTTAACCTCTAGTCCACTGAGCCGACCAACATCAAACGGTGTTAATTTCTAACTTCAACCAATTCACGAAATTGAGCAACACATTCACCATTGTCTTCAATGAGTTACTATCTCACAACAGATTCAGGTAGACTTCACTGGTTATGGCTTCTCACTAGAATTTCAGGAAATACCTCTTGAAGCTAGTCATTAGTAAGCATATAATGATTATAATCAGAGAGGATTTTTGTGGATATTATAGTAATTTAACAATTAAATTCATAGGTCAATTAAAGCTAGAGCACCATGAAAATCCTGGAAGCACTGGATGGTCATTCCATCCTAGTATGGTATTGCTCATCACTGTGCATCTACTATCCCGCCTTAAGAGATTCGAGCACAGGACTTATCGATTTCATATTCAAACGTTTAACCTTTATACCACTAAGGCGGCATCCAATAATGCTAATATCTAATATCAACCAATTCAATGCTTCCAGGTTTTCCATAGTAGTCTCGCTTTAATTACCTCATGAATTCAACGATTGTATTCTCTTTTAATTAACAAAAATTTTATCCGTATTTGATGAAAGATACTAATGAACCCTAACTTGATTAGATTTAACAAGATTTGAAGTAAAGTATAGATAATCTCATATTAAGGCTAACAGGGTATACTTATGATCCCAAATAAACATTTTAGTATACTGTTAGGTAATCACTTAACAGATATAGTTTTGATGAAGTTTTATTCTCTTAGCTGGATAGTTTAGTCATGATCCAGTTCAAAGAACAAAACTTGATCAAAATCATCCACCTAAACAAAATAAAGATTTATCAAGTGGAATGTATCTAATAACAGAAATAATGAGTCACATTAATTGAAATAGAGGATAATCATAACTACTCTATAGATTATAAGCAAAGATGGATAGTGGCTAGCAGTGGAATACTGGACGCGCGTTTCGTCCTATTTGGGACTCGTCAGCTAGATGTACCGGAATCTCAGAGTTGATGTTCACTCCGGGACTCGAACCCAGTACCGTCCGCTTCAAACGCTATCGCGTCATCCACTTAGCTACTGAGTCCTGATAGCCACTTGCTTGTGCAATAGGGTGAAGTTTAATTCACTTGATATTGTTTTATTTGATTCAAGTGCTTGAAAATTAAGGCAATTTCGAGGCATACGCACAGTATGCATATATGCCAATAAGAGAGTGAACAATTTCAGTCCTAAACATCAATGGGAAGATTCAAATAAAACAATATCAAGTGAATTACTCTATACATTGATTATAGTAATATCTATAGTTTAATTCTATGAATTATTAAGATGTTTATAGATAGCAGCATACCTGAAGACAATACACTGTAGAATATCGAGAGAAATTAGTTATGCCGTTTGCCGCGTCAGTTCTTAAAATCTTTGAGCTCATGTAAATTTACACCTTCTCTTGAACATCTTAGACGCATCAAAAATTCTCATATAGAATCAATAAATTTACTGATTGAATGTTTGAAGGCTAAAAATAATGCCACTGATGAATTAGTCAACGATCTAAGTATCGTATGTTGTTTATAGGTTGATTAGTGTTTACCCAGGTTAGCGTTTACCCACGACAAGTTTGGATGGGTTGGATGACCTATACTCCTCCACAAGGAGCAACAGGTGTAAATAAACTTATAGATTAGTGAAAATATAAATGGAACTATATGTGTGAAAAAAAGACACTGTAAAATAGTTTACTTCCTCCTATAGATCAATAACAAAGAACACATTACGTCGAGAAACGGAGACAGACATGAGAAAAATGAACAACAGTTGGATAGAACTAGAAAGGAATGTGCAGGACAGTGTGGGTTGGAGAATGTTGGTCAGCGGCCTATTCTCCATTGTAAGTAACAAATGTAACTAAGTATAGATCAATAAATAATATCTTTGTTTCTATGAAGGTTTTTGTAATATTTTTTTTTAAAAATTACAAAAAAAATAGATTTTTTTTGTGTGTATTTTTTTTTTTTTGTAATTTTTAATGAAGCGTTAAAACTTAGAAAATTATTCATGAGTATAATTGGAAAGTGTGGAATAATGAGAAAATAAGATAAACATTAAGAATCAGAATATTAGTGATAATATCATATTTGATAGATGAAATACGATCTACTAGCCATTTGAACTATTTTATAGAGTGAAAGAGGGAGAGGGAGCGAGAGGGAGAAAGTAAGAGAGAGAGAGAGAGAGAGAAAGGTATCAAGTATGTATTCATACAAATAATGATTACCATTATTTTGATACTTTACTTCATTTGTTCTCTTATATAACTGGTTATTGATAAATCTCTTAGCGGAAGAAGAAATCAGGAAGAAGTACTAGAAGTGAATAGGACACATATTGAGGAAACCATTGAACTGTGTCATAAGCCAAGCCCACACTTGGAATTTTTAAGGCCAAATGAGAAGAAAATGGAAGACCAAAAAACACATTACGTCGAGAAATTGAGGCAGACATGAGAAAAATGAACAAGAATTGAATAGAACTAGAAAAGAAGTCTAAGGTTAGAGTGAATTGCAGAATACTGGTCGGTGGCCTATGCTCCATCGTTAGTACTAGGCGTAAGTAAGTAAGCAAGGAAGGAAGGAAGGAAGGAAGGAAGGAAGGAAGGAGGTAAGGAAGGAAGGAAAGAAGGAAAGAAAGAAAGGAAGTAATCTATTAATTATCATTTAAATTTCTTAATAGAATAATCTGTCACTGAATCAAATTTGTATCTTCTGATTATAAAAACAAAAGGAGATGACAGGTTTTCCTTCCTAAAAAACATTCTCCCTTATAGATGTGTATTCATTAAGAGATAGTTTAATAATTAAACAGTAGTGTTATTCAGAAATAAATAAAAGAAAGATTGTCTTTATATTTTGTTACTTTTAATAATGTACAATCATTCAATGAACAAAAATGACGCCTTAGTATAGATTCATGATTAGTTCTACCATGTGCTTTATGATTGATTTAGACGGTTAAATTTTAATATTTATGTATATGCCGATGATATAGTTGTATTTGGTGAAGACGCTGACAAAATACAGAATCTTCTGACCATTATAAGCAACAAAGTAAGCATGTTCGGCATGAGATTCTCTCTATCGAAATGTAAAATATTACTACAGGATTGGGTTGCATCGACACGCGAACTAATGATAGGGAGTGTAGTAGTTGAGTATATTGACCACTTCACTTATTTTGGAAGTCTCGTCAACCCTTGTGGTCTGGTGTGTGACGAAATCTCAACACGGATACAGAAAGCTCGACTAGATTTTGACAACTTGTGTCATTTATGGCGTAGGTGAGATATCCTTCTACCAACCAAAGGATGGGATTATTGAGCAGCAGTTTGTTCCGTCCTACTTTATGACAGTGAAACATGGCCGGTAAGAGTAGAGGATATTCGTAGGTTACTAGTATTTGATCACAGATGTCCTGGAACCACCGGATAAGTAACTCAATTGTTATGAAACGGGTACTAGGTGAGGATGGCAAGTGGATTGATGAAGTAATGAAACATCATTAGGTGAGATGGCTGGGACATTTGTCATGTGGGCCCAACAACCAACTGACCCAACGTGTGATGTTTCATGGTGTAGGTATAGATTTGAAGAGAATTGATGGTGGTCAGACCAAAACATGGCACAAATCCATAAAGTAACATACAAGTGGACTAAGTAATGTTGGTAAGTGTAGACTACCTGGTCGGGATTCACGGGACGATAGCAACCGATGGTTAGAAACCCTGAATAACATTGCTCAAAGTCGTTTGTAATGGGACAGGTGCATCTACTCTTTGTGTTCTCCCAAATTCTAATCTTCTCAATTTTTCATATTCCTTTCTTTTTTCTCTTTCCAAATTTGTTTCAATGGATTATACTCCTTGAATAACATCTTCAAATCTTAATCTTTCCGATTACTACTTATGGTCTTACTACCTCTACCACTATGACATTGGAATCGACCATTACATCTGTGTGCTAATGTGTTATGGCAACTCGAACTAATTAACGTACATACGAACTTCTACTTTGTTACTGACTGATTGAATGACTGATTAATTTCAACTTAGGTATTTGTAGAGATTGTTGTAGACAATATACAATGGTATAGTTTCATGAATGAATTCAAATTAAATATGAACACCATTGAATTCCAGTTCATGACTGATCTACAGGTTAAATGTTCATGGGTTCGAAACCCCGTTACATTTTTTAATGATTTTTCTTAAGAATATCATGAAAATATATAAAAAAAATATGAAATCAATTGACTAATACACAAATTTAATGTTTAAAAAACAAAACTTACTTTAATTATTATCAGTATATTATGAATAATCTATATATAATGATTCATTTTAATCCATAATAGTATATGAATGACATAGTTACTAATGTTTTTATGATTATCTTTATGTTTCCCTCCTCCTCCTCCTCCTCCTCTCACTGTCGCTCTCTCTATCTCTCTCTTTCTCTCTTTTGTTAATTTGTCATTGAATTAAAAAGACGAACATGAAGATGAAGAAGACAAGGAACGAGACGAAGAAGAAGAAGAAGAAGAACCGGAATGTTTCCATTTGTACATTTTTTTTTTGTAAAAAATTGAAAGTTTTCTCGTATTATGACTATTTGTTTCTTTGAAAAATATCAGTCATTTCTATGATTATAATCATTAGTATTATTATTATTGTTATTATTATCCTATTCTAATGAATTAACTATGTGTACTTATCAGGGATAGACTTTTATCCAATCAAAATTAAAATAAATGGGAAATGTGATAAAATAAAATAACCAATCAAATTGTTCTTCTAAAACTTTGTTTTTTAAGTAGTATCAAGGATAATAATAATAATAATAATGATAATAATAATAATAATAATAATAATAATAAAGTATTATTATTATTATTGTTTTTTTGTTGATTGAGATCATGAATCAATCAATGTTAGACTACTATTGAAAACTTGAAAGCATTAGATAGTGGTTGAAGGTAGTCGACAGGAAACCCTGGATCCGAGTTTCGTGCTACTTGGCACTCGTCAGTGAGATGTACCTATAATCTTGAAGGAACTGGTGCTCTCTGACGGATTCTATCCTGTGTCACCCAGCTTCACAGTCAGAGGCGGGATAGAATCCGTCAGGGAGCATCGGTTCCTTCAAAGATTACAGGTACACTTTACTGACGAGTGCCAAGTATCACGAAACTCGGCTCCAGGGTTTCCTGTCGACTTCCTCCAACCACCATCTAATCTCAAAATAGTTCCCGCAGTGTCGAGTCACCTAGACTAGTAGCCACATTGTAACATGGCCGATAGCATTCAATCTGCAGTAATAATAAGGACTAGACACGCATGACATTGTTTACCACCCAGTGATCACTCAATTGTGACTTGAAAGCATTGGATGATCGTATTCTTTCAGTATGGAACTCTTCAGTACATAGATGCCGGTTCAGTTTTTCACGTACAAGATTGATGGTTTTGGGTTTGAATCCCACGTGAGGGCTAGGGGATGTGCATTGTTAAGAACGGGATAGCCATCCAGTGCTTCTAGTAATTTTAATGGTGGTTTAACATTCATTGAATCATAATCTCTATCAAAAATTTAACAATCTTCATAATCCTATACTAATAATTTATTACTTAAATACTTAAATGATTTCTGTTGCCAGATATTCTATTACTGACTAGTGTTATATACCACTTATGTCAAAATAAGTAGCACACTCCACAGTATTAGTGTAAAGACTAACTAACTAACTAACTAACTAACTCACGAACTCACTAACTCACTAACTAACTAACTAACGCTAGTCTGAGAAATATTAGTGAGAGGAAATTCGTTCAATACTTCATCTTAGTGATATTTATCAAAACTTAAATGACTAAACAAATTTGTTTTGAATGACAATAGATGAATGAAATATCAACTGATAACATGTCGTTACATTTGATTATCCTTGTTGGGGGGATCCAGAAAATTTCTTGCAAAAGACAAGCAAGGATCAGGAAAATACTAAGAACCATTCCATCCAATCAGCGTTCAATTGAAGTTATAGCCAGAAACATCAAGGAAGTGAAACTTCACATGTAGGGGTTCTGATTGACTGGTTGTTATACTGCTACTATGTTTAGTTAGTAGCATTCCAGAATCTTTGAGCAATCCAAGGACATCTAAAAATATTATAAAAACCCTATCTTTTGTATATTAAAATGAACCTTTGGAGTAAAGTACTTTTCGCATACTTTGCATCTTCTCTCTCATGTTCAGGTTATTGTATAGTTCTAGCTTGGGGATTTTCAAGAAGAATAGCTTAGGAACCGATTATAGCGTTCAAATTGCATGACTTATCAATCCTCTTAAATAGTTACTCTATATATATATGATTGAAAATGAAATTAAGGTCTATTCATTTTCTTTCCAGTAAGTTACATTATATAGAGATAGATTTTTGTGTTCATTAGTGACTCCTGCTTCGGTTTGGGCACCTGGGCAGTATCACAGCCCTCACACATATCAATTGAGATTCGTGTGGCGCATATGTATTTGGTGCCTCCTTGTACCTATACCTATGTGTTAAAATAAATAAATAAATAAATCATTAGTGACTAGCCTCAAGATAGATTCTTTGGAGTTCTAGTGAGTAACTGGGATCAGTGAAGTTATAATCTATGTTAAGTGGAAACAGATATTTATATCAGATAATAGGTGAATGGTTGTGTAAGATCATGGATCGATTGAAGTTAGATATTAACATGGTTGAATACTAGTTCATTGATTTAGAAGTTAACCAATAACGTTCTAGACCAAAGATATTAAGTACAAGTCGAATGTGAGGGATTATGAATGTACACTGCTAACAAGTCCTATACTAGAACAGGATGACTATCCAATGCTTCCAGATTTTCCATAATGATCTAGCTTTGATTGACTTATGAGTTGAACTATTAAAAATAAATTTTTTTTTAACAAATATAGCATAAAAATAAAAATTAAGTAGATTATATTACATAGTAACATTAAAACAGTTCTTCTGTATGAGGCATAAACTTGAAGAACTACGAAAGCTATCATCTAGAAGATACAAATGTTTATTAACAATTATCTACGCAAAATAATTCAGATCCATTAGCCAGACACTATTGGTAACAATCTATTATAGGAAAGAATAAACTAGATTGTAGTTGAGGAACAAATTAATAAGAAGCATCGTTATTTATTTATTGATTTATTTGAACACATAAATATTGGTACAGGGGGGGGGCACCAAATATATATGCGTCACACAAGAAGAAGCATCGTAAATTATCAAACCTCATCATGAGGCAAGATTATACTTAGTATACTGAATGTCAAAAGGAGAACAGGTAGATCAAAGAATACATTTCACTGTGAAATAGAAACAGTTTCTAAAAAGAATCAACAACAATTGGATAGAACTAGAAAAGAATACAAAGTGGGACAGAATGGGTTAGAGAATGCTGATAGGTGGGTTATACTCTATTGGAAGTAACACACTTAAATAAGTTATATTACATATGACAATGTATATCAACTATTTTTTTTTGTTGTTGTTGTTGGGAAAATTCTAATAAACATTTTTGTTGTAATAAATATAAAAAGTGTGTGGTAACAAAAGAAATCAATAACCGTACCAATTACACTATTCAAATATTGACCAATAATAATAATAATATTGATTATTGTACATTTTATTATTATTATTATTATATAAATTACATTCATATAATAGATAAATGACAGGATATATATTGATTATAGAAAAGAAAGACGAAAACAATAAAAGAAAATTTAAAAAAATATATATATATACCTTAAAGATCAATAACATAAACGTCAAGTACTCAAGTGAACTATGGAATAATTGGCATTATTATTATTGATTTATATAAATGGTGATTATGTCATATCATCTCGGGTTAATATTAAGTTAATCAGTTTATTACTTACTTTCTTACTTACTTACTTATTTACTCACTCACTTACTTACTCACTCACTCACTTACTTACTTACCTACTCACTCACTCACATACTTACTTACTTACTCACTCACTTACTTACTTACTTACTCACTCACTTACTTACTTACTTACTTACCTACTTATTTACTTACCAACTTAATTACCCACTCACTTACTTACTCACTTACCTACTTACTAACCTACTTACTTACTTACTCACCTACATACTTACTTACTTACTTACTTACGTCTTTTACCTCTTGTTGAGGAACTTAGATCAACTATTAGCATTCTGCATCCCAATTTGTCATGGTCAATTCTTTCCAGTACATTCCAGTTGTTATTCATTCTTTTTATATTTGCTTCTATTTCTCAACTTAATGAGTTCATTAGCTTTTGTATTTTTTCTTTTTTGTTTTTAGGATTCCAAGTTAGGGCTTGTCTCATGATACAATTTAATGATTTGTGTAATGTATGTTCTATCTGTTACTTCTAATGTCTTTTCTTAATTTCCTCTTTATGTGGAAACGGATTTGTTTTCTCCTATAGTAGACTGTTGCTCATGATATCCGTTCAATAGATGTTGAGTATTTTGAATAGACAACTGTTTATAAATACTTGTATCTTCTTGATGATGATTGTAGTAGTTTTTCGAATTTCAGCTCTGTACAATATAAGTGACTATCTCGACGTTCATACTCAGATTATATCAATACAAAACTGTAATTTTGTATATATTTAATTGATATATGTATATCAGAAGGGGTTTTTGTGGATATTATAGTAATTTTAATGGGTAAGATCATGAGTTAGTTGAAGCTAGACCACCATGAAAAACCTAGAAACACTGGACGGCCGTTTCGTCCTATTGTGGGACTCATCAGTAGTGCGCATTCACCACTAGAAATAGTTATTTTGTATTGATGTGGTTTTTAATTATCTTCCAGAAAAAAATGGTATAATATGAATCATAAATATTTCTAACCCATGGTTATAAAAACTATATAAATGTATTGTGTACTACTGATGTCAACCGATATAAGTAGTATGTATTATCAGTTGGAAGTGAAATGTCTGGCAATAGAAATTTGAGAAAATCGAAAAGAATGAGAACAGAGAATGATTGATTTAGAAACAATGGAACAGTCAAGTTTATTTAACATTTTGCCAATGAAAAATTTACTATATGGTTCTTAGATTTTACTATGAGTTTCTGTAATTTTATGTTCCGGTTAATTACGTCAGTTAATCTTCGTGAAGGAGCATAGGCCACTTACTAGCATTCTTCATTCAAGCCTGTCTTAGGCATGGATAATATCTGCCTGTAGATATTCTTATAAAAGTGATAATTATCTTTACTGATATAATCTACTATAAACATAATCTGTTTGGGTAAAATATGTATATTATAAACAGATTATACTTTAAATTTACTTGGTATTGTTTACTTGAATCTTTCCATTGATACTTAGTGTTATATCCTAGTGAACATCAAATTACGGGTAACTTTTGTGATCT